AGGGATGCTGGTTCCTTCCCTCTGCCTCGCCTCCTGGGCTCTCCGGTTTCCAGGTGACCTTGGATCCGTCCCTTCCTCTCCCTGCTCAGGTCTCCCCGCCTGCCCCAAACAGCCTGGCCCTGGGTGCAAAAAGTGCGTCAGGGAGGATGGGGAGCTGCAAACTGATGCTCAGATCTCCCAGCCCGACCCTGAGAGTAGCCTTCCACCCTCCCGAAATCCCCCTGTGCCTCTGGCCCCTTTGCTTTTCCCTCCTGTCCCTGCTCTGTGACCTTGATGGAGTGAGCTGGACCATCCCGGTGAGCAGGATGCTTCGCCAGGAGCATCCTTCCCTTCTCCTTTAGGAGCTGCCGGGATTTCTCTGGAAGCTGAGCGCAGCGGGGTGGCGGCTGAAGGAGGAGAAGCAGTGGGGTAGGGAGGGACCATCAGAGAGTCTTCATGGTTGAAATGTTAATTTTGAATTCACTGAATCCCAGCCTGTGGGGTTTTTTTTTTTTTTCATGCCTCAGTTTCCTCTTTATGGACCCAAACAGGGTATAAGTGCAGGAGAAATCTCTCCCTGTGCCTGTCCTTCAGACCCAGAGCTGGTTTTGCTGCTGGCGGCTGCTCTCCTCGGAGGCTGCTGTAAATCCCCATCTCCTCCCTCCCTGCCTCTGCGCTCCCAGGCCCGGCTGAAAGCTTTGCTGACACGTTTCCAGCCTGCTTTATTGCTCCCCAGCTGCCTTCCCCAGCAAGCAAGGACGGGCCAAGGAAGGACACACAGCTCGGAGTATCCCTCCGCTGCTGCACCCTCTCTGTGCGGGATGCTGCTGGCAGGGCTGGGGGACGCCGTGTCCTTGGCTCTGGGGGGTCTTTGCTCATCCCTGATAGTGGCTTTTCCCCAGTGGGTGTTTCCATCCCCAGCTGGGATCGATGGGAGCCCCTGGGCATAGCAAAGGAGGAGTTTCTCCATCTCAGTCCCTTCCCTGGATGGGGTGAATCCAGCTTGGACCGGAGCAAACCATCGCTGTGTGTGACCGGCCGCAGCCGTGGCTCCTGAGCTCTCTCCGCAAGGGGATGCGGTGGTCGAGGCCACTCCTGGGCCAAGGGGACACGGGGGATTGTCACCCGGGGCAAGCAGGAGCCCTGGGCTCAGCCAGTGGGGCTCAGGGGCTGGCAGATGCTTTGCACAGGGCTGAGGTCCTGCCAGGGGTTGGATGTGAAGGTAGCCACCGTGGACCACAGAAGAGGGGATCCTATCCAAGGAGATACCGAGGGACACGGAATGGTGGGAGAAGCAGGACGGAAGTGATCCCCAGGGACAACCCAGTGATGCTCTTCCCAACCTCTCCCCTGTGGGATGTTGTTGGCTGCCCTCAAGTGATGTCTAAAGAGACCAGCACCGACCCCAGTACAAACTGGTCCTTTCCCTGTGGGAAAAGCCACCGTCCCTCTCTAGGAACCCATGTGAAAGACATCAACATGGGTTTTACTGGGCGAGGTGTTTGGTCTGAAGGCATCCCTGGTCTGGCGGCACAAGTGAGGTTGTTATGAGCCGCGGGCTCTGAAAGACTCTAATCTGTCTTCTAAAGAGAAAGGAAAAAAAAAAGGACATTTAAGAAAATTAAGGTCATGAGGGCTAAGTAAACAAGCTGAATCTCCATCTGTCTGTGACAAAGGTTTTCTATCTCTGTCCAGCCTGGAAAGCTTCTGGTTGTCAGCTGATCTGCCTCGTCTTTTTCGCAGGGCGGTTCTTATTTTTGGCAGATGAATTTTTGATTAAATTCCCTTTTCAATCCAAGCAATGGGTGGAAGTACCTTTCTCAGACTGATTTGGACTGTGGTCTGTGATTAGAGGGGTGCAGACCTTGGGGCTGATGCAAAATCCTGGGGAAATTACTAGGAAGGACTTTGTTGACCCCACTGTCCCCTGGATGGGGTCCTTGTGGCACATGGGTTGGTGGCTTTGTGCTGGCTCTGGCTGGGCTCATCTCATGGTACCAGCAGGGACGTGGATGGCCAGGGTTGGGTACGCTCACGGCATTGCTGTCCCCTCTCCTTCAGGCCTGGGTCTCCTCTGGCCAATGCCACTGTCGCCAGGCTGGGGCTGGGGTGTTTGTCAGCAGGATGTCCCCAAGCAAGGCATGGGGACGCGGTGACAGAGCCATGCCAGGATGAAGATTTGGATCTCCACCATGGTTTTCCTTTGCTTTAATTCAATTTGGGCGCATCTCCCATGGGGAGGAAAACCTGTACCTCTGCCTCTTCACCCTCATCTCACCCTCTGGTGTTGTCTCACCCCAGTGCCTGGAGAGCCCTTGCCCCAAGCCCCAGGAGAGCAGCTAAGCACCCCTTTTGATCCCCATATCCTTTGGGAATATTGTCTTGAGCATCCTCCAACGAGCTGAGAGCCTTTGGGGCTTGAAGAAGCCTGCTTTTCGAGGACCACTGTGTCCTTCTGCTCCCCAGGACAACGCTGTGGGGGACCTACACAGAGGAGGAGAGAGGTAGAGATCCAGAGAGATGCTGTGGGGTCCATCCTGACCCCCTCATGCTGGCCTGGCTCAGCACCACCTTCCCTGGAGCTGGGCATCTCCCAGGCTTTGCTCCAAGGGGCTGAGCTGGCCCAGGAGAGCAGTTTGGGTGCCCTCATCGTGGGGCATTGAGCTCTGGGGCTTCACTCAGCAGATCCTGGATCTTATAGGCTTTGTCCCTAAAATAGAGATTTTAGCCCCCGAGGCTGAGCCCTGCTGACAGTCTGAGTCACCCTTGCTCCAAGGAGCTGAAGTGGCTACTGAGCAGTCAGGGAGCAGCAAACAACTCGTGGGTGATTCACCCAGCTCTGGGCAAATCTATACAGAGCCTGATCCAAAAATTGATGGAAATCCCAGTGATTTCCTGGCTGCTGGATGAGGCCCTTCCGTACCCTCTGTGCCTGTCCCCATCCTGGCTGAGGATGCTCCAGCCCCGGGCAGCCACGTGCTGGTAATTGCCACGATGGAGCCATGAGTGGTTTACGTGAATGAGCCCTCGTTAGGAAATTAAACATTGCTAGGCTAGGCTTGAAAGAATAATTCAAACGGCTTTCTCCAGAGGAGCCGGATCCGGGAAAGATGTAGAGCTGGCGGGGTTGCTTGGCAACAGATGCAGCCAACAGCCAAAAATAGCTTTTCTAATAGGAACGGGGCCTGGCAAAGGGAGAACTTTCTTCAGGGGTGAAAAAACACCAAGGTGAGGGTGAGGGAGGGAAAAACTGCTGCTGGCACTTTGATTCCCTCTCGCGCCGGGCTGGGACCTCGATGCGATGGTTGAGGATGAGCTTTGCTGCTTGGGCGGAACCTGCTGCTGGGGAAAAGTTTGGGATTGTGGGATGAATTGGGTCAAAAAAGATGGATATGTGTCCAAAAGGAAAGAAGAGCTGGGGATGGCTCTGGAAAATCATGGAAGAGTTGTCCCTTGGCTTGGAGGGGACAGTGGAAGGTCCCATCACCCATCCTGCATCACCCATCCCAGTAGAGACCAGCCACCCACGCTGAGGGTTGGTGCCCCAAGGACGGTGCTGATGGGTTATTGGTGCAATGTCACCTGTCAGCTGCCACCTGGGTCTAGTAGGAGCTTTGAACTGAAGAAGAAAGCCCCCAGGTGAGGGTGAGATGATGCTGCAGCCCCACCAAGGTGGGACAGGTCCCTGAGCTCCACCATCGCTCCTCCGGGGGCTGGTGACCTGCCTGGTGTCCCCTGGGAAGGAGGGATGGAGGGGAGGGAAGAAAAGCAAGCATGGCCCTTTGGGAGAGTTGTTTTTCCAAGATCTGAGGTTTCTTGTGGGGTTTCGGTGTCTTCGCCTCCATGCGTGGGAGCTGCCAGTCCAACCCCAGTTTTCCCAGTGTGGTGAAGAAGCACACGGTGCTTTCCCAGCTTGGGGAGCCCCAGACCAGCCGAGCAGATTTCCTTGATGCTCAAAAACCTTTTTGAGGTGGAGGAGAGCGCTGTGGTCATGGACACCCCCTGAAATGCCGCTGTGCAGGGTGGCTCCCGCAGCTGGAGGCGTCCCCGGTGCAAACACGTGGCTCCTTGTTTACGAACGTGACCCACTACGCACATCCACTTGTCACCGCACCGGTGACAAACCCACGCTCCCACCCACACCCCCTCCATGGGTCCAAAAGTTCCCATCTGCACCCATCCCGCCCCACACCCGGGGGACCTGGTGCTGTTGTTTTTGGGAATGAGGTGGTGAGGGCAAACTGGTGGAACTGCACCGATGCTGTGGGACCAGTACGGCTCTCACCAGCCAAGGCTGGCCCCTGATGGAGGCTGGGAAGGTGGAGGGACCAGGAGGAGTGATGGTTTTGTCTCGGCTGCTGATGTTTTTCTGCCGTTATCTGTTGTAGAGCTGCCTGGGAAGATTTAGCTGCAGGCTGCCGGGCTTTTGAAGTCACTCCTGATAATGTCCAGGGATGGAGAGAGAGCCTGGGTGTTTGTCACTGTCCCCAGGCGCTTTTGAGCTGTTGTGGGGCCAAGCTCGGGCTGTGCCCAGGGCACGGAGCAGGTCGGGGGGCAGATGTGGTGGCTGGATGCGGTGTCAGCCCTCGCTGGGGGGCCAGCTGCTGGCCCAGGGTTGTTAGAGGGGGGAAAAGGGCGTCACGGGGATGTGACCGGCTCTGTCACTTGTCACCGTCCCCCTGCACCCCAGGGAAATCCCCTCCTGTGGGTCGCAATGTTCTTCTCCATGAATGATAACCAAGGGGGTCACTCCCCCGTTGGCGTCCTGGGGGTCTGCAGCATCCCCCAGCCCCGAGGGAGGTCCCCAAGGTGTGGGGTGATGGAGACCCTTCTCCCCCCAAGCACCAGGACACCCTTGGGGTAAGACAAAACCATCTCATCCTCTGTTGACCCTTCCTCCCCCCAGGTGCTGCTGATGAAGAGGAGGTGAGGCTGCAGCCGTAGCTCGCCTGGGTGCTGCTCCCTGCAGGACCCTCAGCTTCTCACCCCACCCCACCCCGGGGCCACGCGGAACCATCCCGATGCCGAAGAACAGCAAAGTGACGCAGCGGGAGCACAGCAGCGAGCATGTCACCGAGTCGGTGGCTGACTTGCTGGCTCACGAAGAGCCCGTGGACTACAAACGGAGCGTCCTCAATGTGACGGGAGAAACGTGGGACAAGCAGAAGGATGGAGATGAGGAGCTGGATGGTGAGAACCGGCCGGCGTGGAACAGCAAACTGCAATACATCCTGGCTCAGATCGGCTACTCCGTGGGGCTGGGCAACGTCTGGCGCTTCCCCTACCTCTGCCAGAAGAACGGAGGAGGTGAGGGGTGGGAAAAGGATGGGCTCTGCCCTTGGGGAAGGGATATTGGGATGTTTTTTGGAGGAGACTATATTTTTACATGGACGAACTTCATTGGTCTAAATATCAGGTAAGAACGTCGAGTCTTTGGGGTGATTATTTAGGATTTGCCGGTGAAAATTGCCCCGAAACTGAGACGGGTGGGATGGGTCGGCTCTTTAAAGCCAGGAGAGCGCCCGAGCGTATTTTAGCAGCAAGCTTGAGTTGAGCAAACTGGAGTTGTTCTCAGCGTTGTGTATCCAAATTATACAATTAAAGTAGCAAAAGAAATTTTTTTTTTTGGTTTATTTCACCTGGGATTTTAGTGCAGCTTTTGGAAAAGTCTCTGTTGGGGTCGGGGTTGTGAAAAGTCTCCCTGGGCTTTGGGCAACCTGGGCTGGTGGGAGGTGTCCCTGCCCAGGGCAGGGGGTGGCACTGGGTGGGCTTTAATGTCTCTTCCAACCCAAACCATTCTGTGATTCTATGATGAAGGGGCAGCCAGGAGCCGCTCGCTGCTGCGTGGGCATCACCGCAGAGATACAGGATTCTCCAGGACGGCCCCTTCCCAAAGGCTGCCCGCCTGCCTGCTCTAAAGTCAGGGTGAATCCCAGGCTGGGAGCCAGGATTTCTCGCTGCAGCCTGCAATTCCTCTTGGGGCAATTCAGAAACAAGGGGGTGAGAAAAGAAGAGAGCATCCCTCCATTCCCCCTAGGTCCCGAAGGCACGTGGTGTAGACTCCAGCCACTTCCCAAACCCTCCTCCCATCCAGCCCATCCTACCGCCCCACGCCCCCTCTTTGGCCTTCCAGCAGCATCTCC